GTAGTCTGTGATGAATTAAAATAAAACAAATCAAAATCTATTCGATTCAACAAAACAATGAAAATAATTACATCAAATGTTTAAAATATCAGGGGCGCACTAATGGGAGGGGGGTTTGGGCGTTACAACTCCCTCCAAAATTTTATATAAGTAGGCTAAGAAAAATTTTGACTTTTATGACGTCACTTATTGACTATCCTATTATCCATACTTACATACCTACAAAATGGTGGTATAAATACAAACTATCCCCTCGAAAAAATCTCATGCCATTATCCAGTTAAACACATTTCAAGACACTTCGCTTTACTTTACACAATGTATTACCATTGATGCATTGTCCCAGGTCACATTTTGTAGGTGGTTTATCCGCAAGAATATCGAAACTAACAGTTTTACCAGTCCGAGTAGGTATATGGACAGATGAGTCTTATTTTTCTAACTGCGGAGTGTTCAAATCGACATAATGAACATTACTCGTCACAAGAAAACCTACATGTTGTAGTTTCACGCCGAAATCAAGTACGATTTTTTTTAAATTAATGTATTTTATGTACGACTGCTTGATAATGCGATGATAACAGTCGCAATTAGTGGCTCTAATTTGCAATATTATGGCCTAGTCCATAATGATAAAGTAAAACGGCCGCCTGTCAATGTGACAGTCGTACTTAGGTGTCAATCCAAGGTAAATTCAAGTATTTTAGAAATACTTGACAAATGTTTGACACCTGTTGTCAATATAGATATATAGATTTTATCGTTTATTGAATTCCATGAAATTTTCATTATTAAGGGTTGTTGCAGTCGTACATAAAGCTTTGTATATATCGCGTCCATAAATAGGCTTTATGGGCTCACAAGCTCGCTCGGCTAAATAAACGGCTCGTCCATAAAGACCCAGTTTATGTACTTGATATATAAATAGCTATTATGTCATAATGGGAAGTCATGTAATTCGAGCGATAATCTTCGATGGAACTTTAACTGCTCACCATTTTTTACAAATTCTCCAGTAAACTTCCTTAAAGGATTTTCTAGACAACGTATGTTTCGCGGAAAGGGGGGAAAGGCAAAGGTACCATAAGAACCTACCAACAAAAGCTGGCTGCTCAGGTCACAATTCACGAATTGTGTACATTGTACATTAAAGAATAAAGTATATGGAAGTAGCTAAAACTATAATAATAATAATAATAAATAACGTACACAACTGCTCGAAGCCTTTCTAAAGGCGTGTTATAGCGTCAATGGCAATTGCCTAAAGTAAACTGTCTTGAAGTGTGTTTCACAATGGCCACTATTTTAAACATCTGAATTCTGATGTAATTATTTTCATTGTTTTGTTGCCTCGAATAGATTTTGTTTTTTTTTTAATTCATCACAGCTAGGGAATGCAATCCCGCGGCAAAATTTCGATCCCGGTATTTGCGGGATCGTTTATGTTAATCCCGCGGGATCCTGGTATTATTGCGGGATCCCACAAAATTTTAAATGTATTTGGAAATATGCAATTTTGTGCGGATTAACCGAATATTCTCGAACAAAACATATCGTATTTCCCGGAAAGGATGCGTCACATCCATTTTCGGCCTCCATGTTTATCTGGATTTCTAGAATATTCACTACAATTAATACAGTCATACTGTATTACTAAAGTTTTTATAAACGGGGTGTTTTAAATTGAGTAGGATGGTTATCTCTGTTATTGTTATACTTACAGATTCGGTTAAATTGGCAAAGTTGTGTGGTTTTTGATGCCGGTGGATATTCCGACGCGATATTGTGAAAAAATAATTCGTTACGTAGATAATTGGAAAAGAATTTTTAAAAAGGTCAATATTTTAGTAACAAAGAGAGCTATGGAAGAAAGTTTCAAATAAAAGTTGCAAGATTCGGTCGGATAAATTCCATGGACGTAGAAAAAAATTTCAAAATGGAGGTTTTCGAGATATTGATATCAACTTCTTAATGGACGCCATATTGGATTTGTACGTCACTTGATAAAGAAAAAAATTACAAAACCAGTGATAACGGGCGATCAAAAATGAGTTGCTGTCGAGTCGCCTTTGGAAGTACGATTTCCCATGTAAACAGACATTCCAAAGGTAATTCGACAGCAACTCATTTTTGATGGAATAGTATGTACTAAACACTTAGTATTTCGTTTGGGAATCGACCTTGCATTTTTGCCTTGAAGTTTACAATGTATTTCTTATAGGAATAATGGCTGATTGTGATTGAAACCAAATTCATTCTATTATGTATCAAAAATCTCTAAACCTTCCCCATATAGTTTTACTCGTTGAAGTTTTTTTTAAAAATAACAGCGACTATAGTTTCGGCGTACTGCCATCATCAGGCGACTAGAAGTGTATCACAATATAGCAAATTTGAAAACATTAAGAGCTAGTACTTACTGTGAAAGTTAACAGGAAAACGGTAAATTACAAACGTTGAAGACGAAAAGGACGAACATGTTGTTTTTTTTTTTAATTATTAACTGGCCGAAGCCAAGTGAAAAAACCTGAAGGGTGGTTAAAACGGAAAGGTTGCCCTAGGTTTCAAGACGAAATTATTATCAAGCCTTGTTAAGACAACCAACCGGAGGGTTGAATTTTTACATTAAAGGTTGAAAGTTGGGTTAACCTAAAAATGAACAAAGTTTTAGATTTAAAAATAACTTATCTAAAAGGTACTTACACATTTCAAAAGAACGGGGGGAAAAAAAGAACTTATAAAAGTATTGAAACTATTAAGATGACTACATATTTAAATTATTTAAGTAAAGTTTAAATTCGAGATCATGCAGACGGCATGTCTCGAAATGATTGACAAATCGGTATAAGAGGAAACTGACATATCGATAAATTTATAAATTTTGAAAAGATGTATAGGGTGAATTGAAATTATTGTAAAAACAGAAGATTGTTATTAAAGCCAAGAACTTCGTTAAGAGAGAGGTGCGGGTTCTTTTTAAATTGGTGGTGAATTTCTTTCAATTCCAGAAAGTTCAATCTTATACCTTTATTACAAATATGTAGAATTTCAAAATCGATGTTCGGATTGAAGGAGTGACCCGTTTCCAGGATGTGTGAAGCGAAAGAGGATTTTATTGAGGAGGAATTATTGTTTTTAATACATTGAAAATGTTCTTGCAGCCTAGTAGAAAATTTTCTCCCTGTTTGGCCAATGTAGGAAGATTTACATGTGGGGCAATTAAGTTTATAAATGCCGGATTTGTCTATTAGAGGGATTTGGTCTTTTGTGTGTGAAAGAACTGACTTTAGATTGCTGTTGGCTGTGCCCCACCTGTAAATCTTCCTACATTGGCCAAACAGGGAGAAAATTTTCTACTAGGCTGCAAGAACATTTTCAATGTATTAAAAACGAAAGCTCTCTATGGTTAATAAAATGTTTGAACTTTTTAAATATCTATGAAGAATGTATGAAAAAACGGAAAGCCAATATCCCTACGATTTACGGACGACCTGTACGTATCTGCACTTTTCCGTTACGCGTTTTATTAATAAATTTTAAACAACGTCGTCCCCGTGGTAAGAGCTTGGCCGATAAATTTTGCAATTCCGCAAATCCCGCGGGATTCGGATTAATCCCGTAGGATCCCGGTATTTCGAGATCCCGCGATCCCGGTGTTGCATTCCCTAATCACAGCCTACTTGATTAAAATATAAGAACCGTTGATATAACTGGTATCTTAATTTCAATCTTCTGCTATGATAGCTCGTTGAAAAGAGAATTAAAAAATCTATCAAATAATCTAAAAATCCAATATGTCGCCTATTTAACTTTAGAAAGTAAGTAAATGTTTCTCAAAAGTAGCCATCTTGAATTTGTTTAACATTAATTCTAAATGAAGAGTATCAAAGACAGTAACATTTATATAAACTTTTTTTTTTATATCTTTTATACTTTCGAAGATATAAGACATTCAAGGAAATGACCAATTTTAGTTTTTTTGAATTTACATCGAACCTTGAATTTCCACAAGGAAATTTTAAATAAGCATCTAAAAATAGATATTGGAGCAAATTATATACAGTGCGTTTATATTACATTCGAACATACGATTTTTCGTGCAATGATGTTTCCCTATGTTCCATTTAAAAAAAACGTATCAACCTGTAGGATATGTCCGGTTCACAGTATACACACGTATTGAAAGTTGAAATGGAAGGTACATATTGGTTCATCAGGACACTGGACTGCAAGTAATCGCGACTTGTCTTGCACTGTTGTGACCTTTGTATAAATTATAATTTCAATTTTCATCTCTTTAGGCAACATTTTTGAAATTTATCTGCAGGGCGGTAGATTTGGTGACAGTTGTACATTGCACCTCCTATCCATTTGAACTACTCCGATAGGTTGACACGTTTTTTTTAATGGAACTTAGGGAAATAACATTGCATGCAGAATCGTATGTTCCAGTTTAAGACAAACGCACTGTATATACCTACGTTCAAAAAGTACTATATGTCGACCAAATAATAATATTTTAGCGAACAGAAATATATTTTACGGGTGCATAATTATGACACAAACGGCGCCCCATATAATAGGTACTCCCTGTAGAGTAGATTGTAAATTTACGGTTAATAAAATTTAAAAAAAATTCGGCAACCCGTTCCATTTACACCATAGGTACGCATTCATATAGACCACAAAGGCTTTTAAATTACCAACTCTTGGGCTACAAAGAGCAATTTAAAATACACGAATACGAAGAAATTATTACCAACATTAAGGTACGAAAATGAAACAAAAGTATTTCAATTAGATGTAGTTACATCGATACTAATATGAATTGGCAACATTTTTGTCTGCTTAATTTCTTTCAGTTCTGCGAATACACGCACGTCGTCGGCTCAATATTTCCTTGCACGCGATCTCCGAGACAATATCTACCTTAGCGTGCTCTTTAATTTTAGAGGGAAAGACTAATATTTTATAATAAATATAATATAACGAGCAGTCTACTACTTACATTTGCTGTGAGGCGATGACATTGATAACGCAGAGACAGATGGCATTGGAGGAAAAGGCAACGGTGAGTGGCTATCCAATTCTTGGTGCAGATTGAGAACAGGCGGAAGGGAGAGAGGCGGAGAAGGTAAGTATTCCTTGTCGTGCGAGATGCTTAAATCTAATTCCGGACTGCCGGATAGATCGGGGGTTGATATTTTGATGTCCTTGATCTTCTCCGCGTCCCTTGGTCTCTTCACGCATAGGTTTTCCGCCGTGTCCTCAATCGGCGACGTCGATTTCAAGTTGTTGGTTGTGAGATCTTGGGCGCCGCATAGTTCTCCCGATCGTCTTCTCGGTCGAGCTTGCTTTCTTCTCGGGATCGGCGACTGACAGTCGGGCCGTGGCAAGAGATTGTCGGGGAATGTTATGTGAGGCATGTGCGGTAGCTTTACTGGCGTGTCGAAGTTGTTCGTGGAGAGCGGTGTGATGGGCGATACTCTTTCGACGGGTGTTATACCGGTTGATGCGGGTGTTGAGAAGCGACCGCTGGTGGGATAAAATCCACGATCGTAGTCCATGGGCGAGGTCGAAGGTGTAAGTGTGGGATTCGTAACCGCGCTCGACTCCTTGTCGATTCCGAATTGATCTTGATTGGCTAAACCTCGCACTTGTAGGCTTTCCGCGGCCTTAATGAGGCTTTGCAACTGTTCTTGTCCGACACTTATTTCACCTTTGTACATGAAATCAACGATAGCTTGAACTTCCCATCCACTAAAGTCCTTTAAAACTATAACTGGGTGTTTACAGGGGTTTTCCGAAAAGATTCTTTGAAAGAAGGGCGAACACGCACTGAGAACAACCTTATGCGCCCTTACCGACGTTTCCGCACATACCAAAGTCACATCGACTAACGTTTCGGCTTGTAACAAGGCGTCAAATGCTGACAGTATGTGATTCTGATGGTTATTCCACCTAAGCGAGTAGTGAGATTGGGACATTTTCGTTTGATTGTTCTTCGCCTTCGTCACATGAATAACGTCTTTTTCTTTTGAATTTGAAGGATCTGTAACAGAAGACCAAGTTAGCCACTATATCATAGAACATGATGCGGAGTGGTAACAAAGAACTTCGGGGTCAACCTCCACATCAGAAGTAGTTTTCTGATAACCGACGTTCCCTAAAAACTGTATAACAACAGTCGTAACACAAATCATTTAAACAATTAGGCGATCAAAATTCATATCGTATATTAAGAATAAGAAAACTCATATGAATTCGGTCACGAACCGGTGAATATCGCACGCAAGCTCAAAACTTGCGTGCGTATGTGACATATTCACTCACGTACATAATCGCTTAATGATTCAGAAAGAAGATTACCCTTGTAATGGCAAGTAGGACAACATTTCAAGGAAAACTGTATAAGAAAATTTCAGACGCATGCGATTTGATGATTATAAAGAAAAATTTTAATGGATTAGCGAGTCTCGCTTAAAATATATGTTAGAATGTTATCTCTGACTGTATTTTATGCACATTAACCACGATCTTTCACAAACTACTTTAGTAACATTAATTATCCATCACATATCATTAATATTGTTAAAAGGACGGAATTAAAGTACGTCTTACACATAATGTTGCAAAAAATCGCAAGGGTTCGTCTGGACTATAGATCGCCTGTTGATCGTATACACCAATTCTACTTCTTGTAAGACACACTAATGGCTTTAGTACCGAATATGGATGGCAGGTTGCTTAAATTCTGGAAGCTTTCGTAGTTCACTTAAAAGAATTAACGAACTGTTACGGTTGCGCTATGATTTTGTACGTGAACCGACCAATGAAGTCGATATAGGATCTGTTGAAGTACCCTTAGCAAGGTGCTAGTTTGTCAAATGAAGTTTTAAATAAAAAAAGTGTCAAGTTAAAATATTTTACTAAAGAAGCTTATAGGTTTAACATGGCTATAACAATTGAGTTCATAGTAGGTTTTCTTGGGGAAGTGAGAAAACTATGGATCCATCGAAGTACATAAAGCCATTAAAAAACCAGGTGGCGTGGCTTACGCAAACATAGCGATGTTTCTTTCTTTAGATGAAGAAATTTATGGCATGGTAAAATGCCAAGAATACAGCATACAGCCCAGGAAATGAGAAAAATGAAGAATTCCATTTTAGGAGGTTACTGCAGTGATGCAAGAAAAAAAGCTTTATATCAATAAAAGATCAGGAAGAAGAAGCGAATCAAATTACAAGTAAACTTGCCACATATATTAATGAAAGATGCATAGAAGGAAAAGAAGTCGCTTCCTATTAAAATTCGCGCCCGCGATATTTTGTTCCGATAATTCTTTCTCCGCCGGAATATTTGCTCCCCAGACGATTCGCCCTTGGAAAAGATCCCGGCAGTATCTTCGCTCCCACGAACTTCACAATATCGTCCTACAGTTCCGATAAGTAACGAAACTACCATCGGTCACAATCCCGGTCAAAAAAGCAGTGGCAAAAATGTTTATTTTTGAAGAATTACAAAAATTTGGCCGAACCTCACAATTGCTTGTGTTCAAAGACGAGTTTTCTTCAGGTCAATTCGCTTAGTGCATTTTCCATTGTCTAGCAAGAGAGTACTCCGGCGTGAGAAGATTCTCCATGAACAAAATTTCCGGTGGGGAATCTTCCGGGGAGAATCTTCCAGAGGTAACATTTTTTTGGGCGAAATGTTGCGGGGCGGATCTTCCGGAGTCAAAATTACCTGTGGGTGTGTATTCTTGAGAAGACAAGATACAAATTATCCCGAAAAGTTATACAGGAAAGATTTTGATTTTGTTGGAATTTGTATTCTCAGAGGAAGATTATTCAAACAAGCAATCGTAGCGATATCTGCAACTGAAGCGGAAGTCATTGCAACAAAAATATAAACGTGATGCTTTCTTAAGAACAACTAAATTCAATAGGATCAAGGTGCCATTACGTTACTTTGGAGCATTGATAATCTCATAGTTCAGTTGGAATCATAAGACATCACTTACAAAGATGTAATGAACTGTTATGGCTCGGCGATGATTTTGAGTAGGTTAAGAGGGTCGGGCCAATACTGTTCAGCAGCCAGTGCCAGTGAGAATGTTCAAATTTGCACAATCCATTGACAGTCAGTTGCAAGTTTTTCATGTTCAAAGAAAGCTTCACTTTTAGAGCAAGTGAAAAAGCAGTTATTGTGAACATCTTGTTCTTTCGCCCGTTTAATCTCCAGATTATGTCTTACAATTGACATGAAATTTTCATAAAGATGCTAATCGCATTAGAAAATCCTCCGGGAACGAGAAATGACTAAGAAAATTGAGCCTTATTATTATTTATAATGACAGACACACCTTCTATATACAGGATTATCCATTTTGCGGGTTCAAAAACAAAATGTAAAAGAATACATAACAAAATGACTTTGATGAAAAATTTTTTTAAGTACAGGGTTTGGGCATTGACATTATGCGTGAAATATATCGTTCAAATGGCCCCATCGGGATTTCTGGCAACAGTCCATCCTTTTGAGGTAATTTTGTTCGAAAAATTAGTATTTACTCCCTCTCTTGCCAATTGTTTGTTCAGTAGTGAAAGTGTACGCATTGCAATTTTGCAACAAATCTTCAACAGACCAGTATTCAAAGGATTTAAAATGTGAACAGTGTGATTATGTAACGAACATATTCTGAAACGACATCTCTGGCACAAGGATTTAAAATGTGAACAGTGTGATTATACAACACATCATCATTATGTTTTGAAACGAAATCTATTAACTCACAAAATCTCAAAGGATTTAAAATGTGCACACTTGATTTATTTATTTATTTATTGCCCCTCTTGTTCTGGGCCTCAATAGGATTTTTCGCAATTGACATTATATGGAAATGTCAATGCAGGTCCCGAGGTTCAATGGGATAGACAACAACGTCCGTCGGGTCTGCTATTATCTATTCATATAAGTAAAAATGAATATTGATCTGTCTTGTCTATTGTGCAACCGTTCATCTGATTTCGATGAAACTTTGGGGATTGGTTGGACGTATGCCTGCGAAAGTTTCTGAGTTGTGTATCCGAAATCTCCACCAGAACGGGAACAAGAAAAACAACATTTACAGTCGAAAAGAGACTTGACATGTAGAACGTAGATTTCTTTGAATCACCTTGAGACGAATTAGACAAGTGATTCTTTCTCACAGGTGATTTCGGTGACGGTACATATAAGAACTAAAATATATTGAAGACAAATTGATCATTTGTTCTATCAATTTGAGAAATTATAAAAAAACTTTTGACACAGGTTACCTTACGCCTAAACCAATGGAGTAGGTAGTGAAGCTGAAACTGATTCAGTATAAATATAGAATTTTACATTACGAATCAGGTGTTTGTAAACACAAAAACTCAGTTATTTCAAAAATAAAGATGGTGTGATTGTTTTTGCAATAACCTGCATTTGGCCGATTTTAACAAATTTGGTATGGTTGAAATGATGGTTGGTCGCTATATTTTGAGTATTTTCAAAATGCGACCATCGCTGCCCAGATATTCTATTTGCGTTATCCGAATCGACCACGAACCATAGCCGGCAGCATATTAAATGCTTCTTGGTTAGAAATCGGCTTTTTAGAAAAGATTACATATTCAAAAAACGGCACTTTCTGTATGTAAACACAGCAGAATAATTTACAAATTACGGCTGTTATTATTTTATAATGCATCGTGTTTCATTTGTTTCATTTTCCAAGGTCTACCTAAAAGTGTAGGGCCTAATTCCAAACAATCTTTCGCACCATCGACAAATACCGGAATACGTCAAATAAGATGCAATTTAAGCATTTTAATTAATTAATTAATTAATCTCATTTTCCCAACATTTGAGGTTAGGAACGAGATTTTGAAAAACTCTGGCCTCTTTGGGTGTTATTTGGCTACTTTTTCATAAAGAAAAAGTCATCATTCCATTTGATTTTTTTATGATTTTGGATCATAGTGTCAAAACTAGCCCCCTGGCGGAGAAGGATTCAACTAAATTAACTATATTTTGGTTGCCCAAGGAATGCTCTTTTCAACGATACTAAATTTGTTACAATCGGTCAAACGGTTAAAAAGTGAAAGCAGGTTATTGCAAAAACAATTGAACGCCCCACGCCATCTTTGTTTTTGAAATAACTGAGTTTTTGTTTTTACGAAAATGATAGATAAACTGGGTCTCTTTAAAAATGTGAATGTTTAGTTTTAGTTATTATGCGAAATTTAAAGAAAATTCATTTTTAAAATTTAAGATGTCAGTTAGGTACGCCCTTTGGTGGTCATTTTTAGAACTTGAAAACATTTTCCAGCGATTCTTCATAAGCGATTTACCCAATAATTTCTTTTACCCCTAAGTCATACGACAAACGGTTCCCGAGATATGGCCGAGGAATAATAGCCTTATTCGGTCACCTGGTATTTAAATAACGTTTGCGCTCTAAATTTTATTGAACATATACCGAAAAGACTGGACCCTTTTCCATTACTGCATTTGTCAGCGACGGAGAATATTTGTCAAAACGTGCGTGATAGATTTCAGAGCAGTGAGACCAAAAATGCTCGACCAGTGGTATCTCCTCGTTTTTACTTTATGAACATTAGGAGCACGCGTCACGTCAGATTAAACTTTGGTAGAATGTGAGCAACTTTTTTTCATCCAAACCTACCATTTAAAACAAGGGGTACCAAATCAATCTTTTCTGTTTCCAAAGTATTCCATTTTAATATACTACTGCATCTAAATAATTAAGTATAATTAAGAAATAGCCATTCAGTTTAAACTGCAAGAATTATCTTCGATGGGATAAAAACTATAGGTATAATTTCTGTGATATATTGCAGAAACTACTGGTAGCTATTTGACTCTGACCGAAGTATCTACGGTGTCGTGCGAAAAAGTAAAGTTTTGCCTGCCGGCTATCGAAGTACGTAAATTATAACGAACTCGTATGGCAGCGCTATGGTCTCGTTACTAACTACCCGTTAGAACATTACGCTGCCACATGAG